TTTTTTTTTACTTTTTTTCTGGTGGTAACTTGATCCTTACATAACTATTCTGGAGCACTATTGCCTTCTCCTATTACAACAGTACAAGATTGGTTTGCCTTAGTGGAACTCTGTAAGGTAGTTCTTAAAACAGATGACTCTTAACTTTCAAAGTGTTTGTTCCTCATTGTTACAAAAGCATGTTCTGAGAAATTAATGTCATAAGCGCTAAACTAGAATTTGTCCTAAACTGCTTTGTCTGCTGTCTGGCTACAATGGCGTTTCACTGATGCTGTAACCATTCCTATGTCTTCAGACTGCAGGCACTAGTTTTGAAATTAGGATAAATATCCTCTCTGAATAATGTACTTACATATGTGTGCCAAACCCAACTTCCCAATTACGTAAGTCAACTTACATTAGTAGGTATTGCAATTCTAAAATCAAAGATTTTCTTTTCCTTTAAAACCTTCAAAATTTCACAGTAGTCATTCAAAATTCTTTATTTTAATTGCTCGTTTCCGGGTACTTTTTTTTTTTTTTTTTTTTTTTTTTATCAGCGTATTGTTCTTAACATTTGGAAATGAGGTCTTAAACTAAGTCCAGAAGAAAGAGTTGATGTTTCACATACTGGAGAGTCACAACAGAGCTATACTTTAATGTCTGAAAGTTGGGGCGAGGGGGGGAGAGCACAGAGTTGTAGTAGGAAGAAAAGATAGAGAAGAATTGTAAACACATGGCTTGCTTTGTGTGCTTTTGAAAGGGAATGGTACAGAAGAAATAAGAGGAAAGGAAATTTAAAAAAAATGTTACAGATAAAATGCAAGGTGAGCAATGTGATATCGTTATGGACTCTCTAATGTAGCGGTTTCACTGAATGATACTTGAGTAGCAATTGGGTGGGAAGCTCTGTCATTCTGTTTAATCCAGCTCCTGTTATCTCCATCCTAATGGATAATGGAGGATCACAGGGGATATCCCTGCTCTTAGGCGTTGCAAGTTGAATACATGGAAAGGAAATTGAATGTGTCTTGTCTCCTTTTGCTGTAGGCACTGTTAAAGTGAGTCCTCTGAAGACGGCTTCTTTCAGGTTCAGGCTTCTACGAATGCATTCTACAGAGATCGTCACTTGATTCTGTCAGTTATAAAGCTTCCTGCTTAGGAATTAATTTGTATGTCAGGTTTACACATGTATGTGAGGTATATTTTGAAATGATAGTATTTCCAATTATTTTAAAAGGGTATTCTGTTTCTTTGATTCTACACCTTATTTATCATGATCATCCTTTGTATGAAATTGACTTTACATCTGAAGAACTATTCTCACTTCTCTGATTTTTGTGGCTAAAGTGTGACAAATTAGTATCGTAATTCTGTATTTGCTGTATCTTAATTCCTTTGAAAATCACTACATTTTTTCCTGCATTTTCTGTATAATGCATAAATGCAAGAATGTTGACATATGTAACCTCATTTAAAGTATCTCAATTCTGCTTTATGTGTACTCTGACAGAGAAATGCTAGGTAAACTAATGGATAGTGTGGTTTGCTTTTTAATTTTTTTTTTTTTCATTCCCCTCCCTCTCCCCTGCTACCTAGGTAACAGAATTTGTACTTGGCTCTTTAGCAGTAAGCAGTATGTGTGTGAAGCAGTCACTATCTTCTATGAAGACTACTAAATTCAGATCAATTATGTACATTTTCTATGAAAATGTACAATCTACAGTGATATTCTATGTTTTAACAGCATCTAATGAAATAATAATTTCTTTTTTTAGTTCATAAAATGCAATTACAGTTCATATTCCCACTGATAATTTATTTGATACTAAAATATATATCCCATCATTTATTTCTGTAAACTGAGTTAAGGGACTTGTAACTGGACGAAATATTCTAAGTCATCAAGCTAAGTCCCCTACTTTTACAAGCAGGAAGACACACACTGATTCCAAGAAACCAAGTTTCGTGTTAAAACTTAAGGCTTTTGCTTGCAGTATTCTGGACAGGCCACAGTATATGCCTGCTCTGAATATCTTTATGGATATGTGATGTTGTTAATGTGTCAACATTATCCTTTATCTTCTCCTGGCTCAGGGCTTATCTTTCTGCAGCTATTCTTACATACAGCATTAGGATCCCTTCTAACTTCCTTCAGTTTATGGAGGACTAAGAAAAAAACATTTCTTAAATGTTTTTTTTCTGTTTAGTCAGAATAAGATGGGTTCCTCTAGAAGTTAGTTACGATTATCTTCAGTTACTTGTATGTACGTTCAAGTCCGAGTTTTTATGTGTTGGAACACAAAGCAGCATTCCGGAGATATTGTGGGAACCTTACGTGGGGATACGGCTGCTTCCTTATCTGGCACAGCTTTCCTAATGCATCCTGAGCTGCATTTTTCTGTATGGTGACTGTCTTGCATACAGAGGATCTTGAGATCTGTTGTTGCACTCAAATCCTTCCCTGCCTTGGTCATGTCTAACTGTCCCTACATCCAAATGTTTTTATAGTTTCTTTCTTTCTTGACGTCGAGTACATGACATTGTGGTTCATGTTATATTTGAAGTGTAATATTTTTTTCTATATTCATAGTAAAGTATAACTTCTTTTGAACCTGTTTTTTATTAATGTTACGTGTTGTTTTAAGAAAATGCATATATTGTGTAGTATTTTCCTATACTTATATTAATTTATCTTTTCTTTCTTAGTAGAAATACATATATAAATTATTAAGATAATGACAGCCCTTTAAATTTCATGGTGGTAGAATTTCTGTGGGGTTTTTGTGTCTTAATTTTTAAGTGCTGTCTGCTTACATTTATAATTATAAGCTAATACATTGTAGGTATTCACTGAAAATTGATTATATTTTGTTGCATATTTTGTAGAGTCTTAACATTTTTATGTAAGAATTTTATTTTAATAATTGGATCATATAGTTTTCTAGAGCATCAGACACAAAATATCATTGGTATTGTGAATATGTTTTTGAAATCTTTTTAACTTCTGTATTTTCCTTCGTAGGTTGATTTCTTTTCAAGAGTTTGTGGCATTTGAATCTGTTTTGTGTACTCCAGATGCACTATTCATTGTTGCTTTTCAGTTATTCGACAAGACTGGCAATGGAGAAGTAACATTTGGTAAGAATATCTAAAGAAAAATGGTTTAAGAAAGTGATGATAATAGTATAAATCTTAATAGTGGTTCATGTCCATTGGTACATAGAAATGCATATTGTGCTGTACTGGTTGGCTAAGAGTTTGCAAGAGTAAAACTCTTAGTTTTTATTTTATTCATTTATTTTTTTCTTTCAAGTGATACAAGCCTAAGAAATACACAGAAACAAAATATATTTTGCTCTGTCTTCCTGAATCAAAATTTTTCATGTTTGTGAAATAGTTACAACAATGCTGTTCTGTTCAGTGTCATTCTAAATAAATTTGTATGTTGTAGACTTTGAGCTCCTTCAGTGATGAGGGATGTTAAAAATATGTACTGGATCTCCATTATTCTTTGAAGAATTATCATTAGATACAGTATGAGCTCTATATGGGAATGAAGGAGGTTTAATCTTTTGAATTTCTAGTTTAGTATTTGTTTTCTCGAGGAGTAAATCTTTAGTGTTATGAGTATTAACTTCCAACTAGATCATGTATGAGAAGAATTAGGAAGAAATTATGGAGAAATTGTGGCCTTTAAGTTTTACTTTTTTTTTTTTACCTTAATCACATAAATTAGTAATTGGAAAAATTCTTTAGGCTAACTATACTGCTCTGTGATGTTGCTAAATAACTTACTAACATTGCAGTCCTAGGAGGACTAGGTTTTATTTTTAAAACTTCATATGTTTATGAAAATTACGTAAGCCAATGCTACACATTTTAATAAAGTGGAATGAGAATTTCATGTTCTTTCTATCCAAAAGAATAAAGCTCTCAATAAAGAAAATACAAACTGTGCTTGGATTCGTAACCACTTGCTGTTTGTACTATTTCATTCTTTTGAAAATTGTTGCAACTTGTTGGGGAAAAAAAAAGTAAGAGTCTTTTTATGGAAACAAACTGCTTGACTTGTGATGTTGAATTACATCATTAACTGAAGGGTCAAATACTGAGCAATTTGGATATGCATCATCTTGAAAAGAAACTCTTTCAGTGCTTAAGTAAAGTTGAAGTCAGTAAATGCAGTCATTAGAAAGTAGATAAACTACAATCATTATGCCCATGTTAACGATGGTATATTTAATAATGTCACGGAACGGGAATATGCACTTTGTAGCTCTCGTGAAAGGACTTGAAATAGCTGGTTCTGTAAATGACCAAAATGTAGTTTCAGATTGTATTTGGATTCCTCAATCAAACTGAGGATTGTTATTTTTTTATGAGCACATCATTATATTAAAGGCTAAAAGAACAAAACAAACAAGAGAAATTGTAAACCAGAAACTTCCATAATTTTTTTCAATACCTTTATCACTAATTTTTTTTTTAATAAGGCTGATAAGTCTTGAATAGGAAACTTTGAAACTTAAAATTTACTATTGGTTTCCTGATTTTACAAGATTATATTGCAATTACTACTTTATTTAATAGTATGCTATAATATATCAATGGTACATATTTTTGTGTTACGGTTCCCACGTTTACTGCTGCTTTCTTGTTATTGTTTGTAACATGGCCTACTTATTTTTACTTCATAGGCATATCATACAAATTAATGCATGTGGGAAAAATGTGAATGATAGTATATGACATGTTTGGAATTTGGTAGCTCTGCAATGAATTTCCAAGTCAATCTTGTGGACTATAAAGGCTGTTTTGTGAGTCCTGCACTTTTTCATTTTCATACCACATCAACAGAAAAGCACAGAGTTTAGTTTCATGTAAAAACGAAAATATATAAAAATTAAATTAAAAATTCTAATAAATAAATAGAAATACACTGAAATGGAGTCAGTTTAGCCAATTGGTGTAAGAATTGCTATCAGACAAGTCATCTCTCTTTTATGAGTGTGCAATATACCCAGTTTGCAGATAAACCATGTTGGTTATGAGAGCAAACATAAGTCAAGATGTTCTAGCTCAGATACAGTGCTATGTGGATGTGATTGCATTGATTCCAAAGCTAACTCAAGCCAGTAAGTCTTGCCGGAAGTGACATGGATTTGCTGAGGTTTTTCTGCACTGAGCATCTGGAGCAAGGGGTGGAGGTGCTGGAGAGTGGAACACAATCAGCTTGGGTCTGTTAGGCCAGTAACTTGAACCCAACACTGGTCTTGCTGGGTGTGAGATAATGTCTCAAAATCATTTGGGTATGACTCTGTGGCATTTTCAAAAGATATCCTGAAAATCTACTAAGATTTTCAGTTATTCAGTGAAAGTTAAGTTGATCTGTTGATTTTTAGAGTTGTCTGTCTATTTGAAAGTAAAATGCTCAGTTGGGTTCACATCTCCTTTTTAGGATTTACTTACTGACACGGACTGAGACCATACTTGAGCACTTTATCTTCTTGGAGTCCTTTTGAACCTTAGACTCCCACTTGTCTCTTCAAAAGTTTAGCTTCCAACTCTCCAGTGAGGAAATTATTAATTAAATTGTATTATAAAGAACTTTTGAGTTGAGAAATGGAAGAAGACAAAAAGTTTATGATTCTTTAGAAAATATTTAGTAGAAATACTTGTCAGCAATGCTATGCTAATCAGTGTCTGTGCCATATCATGTTAATTGGAATTGTTGAAACAGGAAGCCTTCTGTCACTTTAGTGTCACCTACTTTCTCACTGCTTTGGGACATTTTTCCAGGAGTTTTGGACATCCAGAAATCCTGTATGAATAACTGCCATAAATGTATAGGTAGTATGCTATAATAATCGTGTAGTAGGTCTATTGCAATAACCTGAAACTGGAACTACTTTGTATGAGGAAATCTGTCCAGCATGCTCAATACTCTTTACATGTTTCAGCTGCACCAGAATTGCTGTCAGCTTGGTGAACAAAAAGTAATAATATGACTATTTTAATAACCTACTGATAAAAGTGACAGTGAAGTCTAAATGACTTTTAAATCATGGAGAAATAGAAAAAAAACATTTGTTTTCCTGATCAAATGCTTGTACTACTTCATAAATTATTCCTAGGTGAATATTTTATGGGAAATATATTACTGATGAGTTCTTAGAATATTGCTTTAACCATAAAATATTTAAAAGCTAAAGCTGATAAAGAAAAGTGGCTTTTTTTGTTGTTTGTTTGGTTTTTTTGTTTGTGTTTGTTTCATTTTTTGTAAATTGTCTGTCTTGTTAGGGATTGCTATCTGTAGCCAGAGAAAACTGACAACTAGTTTGCTTTTTTGATCATTGGATGTAACTGGCTAAATTACTTAGCATAAATGAAATGTTTAAAGACCCTCCATAAAATTAATGCTATGGTACTAAGGAGACTTTTTTTATTGCTATTCTTGCAGGTCTTTTGACCTGAAGTCAGGTTAAAGCAAACGTGAATATTAAATGTGCTCGAGCTATTTGGTGTGCTTCAGTGTTGAAGCAGATAGTCCTTATTTTGGTTAAAGGTGAAGTGTGTGACTATCACTGAAACTTCTCTCAAAAATAGGGTGTCTAACTGGAAGTAAAAGGATTCTTTGTAATTTATCCCTTTGGCAAGCCATGCAGTGCTCTGGACTGTATCACTTTTAATTGGAATGTACAATTTCAAGGCTTTTTTTCCAGCTGTTCTTCCTTGTAGAGTCACCAGAAAGAAAGCCATTCTCTGACAAACTGAAGAATTTAAGAGACGCTTTTTTAGTTAAATACTCACGCTGGTATGGATAGAAAGATAAAGGTAAAATAATGAGATTTAGAAACGATTTTACTGCCTTCATGTTCAGGATTCTTCTGTATTCAGGAATTTTATATTATTTTGGACATAGTGCTAAAACATTTATGGAACCGAACACACGGTTTTTAAAAACATCCGGCAGCTCAAAAGCTCATTAAAAATATTTTGTAGAGTATAATGGCCTCTTCTTTAAAGGCACTGGGGGGAGTAAGGGAATTGGATGCCTGGTGATGCAACTAATGTGAAAATTACTGTGATATTGGTGAACTGAAATAATAAACATCAGTGTAATAATTTCAGAGGTTGAGAATACAGGGTATACTGAAATCTTGTCCATCTATTTTCTTCAACAAATTTTAATCTAGGAGAAAAAAGTTCAGATTTCCCTTAATCAGGACATAAAGTTTGAGAACACTGGAAGAAGGTGAGTGAGAACAAGAGAAAGGAGTTGAACGTGTGTTGTTACAGTTCTTTGCTTTTAGTGTTATTTTTCAGGAAACACAGATCACTACTAGTACTCAGTCCCGCCATTTCCAAATGAGCAATTGGATTGAAAATGCTAGGATTTTTATTTAATCTTAGGAGGTCTGTTTTATAAAATACTATTTGCAACCATAAAGGCTGGAAGCCTTTAAACATGTAAGCAGAAAAACCCTCATAACCATATGGCTATAGATCTTAGGATATAAGAAAAACACCATGTTTTTGTCAAGTGTGCTATAAACTAGAACTGCTATTTTTCTTGGCTTCCTGGTAGCCATATGTTAGTTTCCTGTTTTCAAAATGTCTTTTGCTTAACACATTCAGGTAACGTAGGAAACATTATGTCATGACTTTCTTTTGTCCTCATGTTTTTGTTAGGTTTGTCTGTTTGTTTCTTTCCTGTGGCATGATGCTTTCAGGTTTAAAGCACAGTTTTAAACAAGTGTGAGCAGTGCAGTGTGGGAGACCCTCATTTTTTTATAATAACAATTAAGTTCAAAACTGTAGTTCGGCAAGAGGGAACAGAAAAGGGGAACTCCACATTAAAATTATATATAGTGACAATTTGTTGTTATGGCTGTCAGTAATATTAACCTTAAACAGAATCACTAATCCTTTTAAAATAAGGGTAGAAATTCAATGTAACTATTTCTAGTTTAGCTTTGTCACTTTTCCTGCCATTCGTCATTTTGCTCTTTGTTAAAGTAACTATATTATTTGCATTTCGATCACTCTTCATATACTTCTGTTGCATCAGGTGCTACAAGAAAAGTCTTTTTGCTTTTAACAACGATTTTTCATTTTATGCTTGAAAGTGAAAATATGTAAAATTTGCTGTTAGCAGAAATAAGGAAAAGTAGTAACGTAGAATACATTAAAATGCATTATGTACATCAAGACTCAAATATGTACAAATGGGACTGTAAATGACTGAGTAGACAGATTTAAAAAAAAAATAAATTATTAAACAACAAACCATTAGCATACTTAGGCTACTACTTAAAACTATCACTTTTATATTTTTGTGTCTCTAACAAGCATGATTGATCTTCCATCCTTGGTGAGAGGGAATGGTAAACTCTGTTAACAGGTTGATGGCACTGAATTGCGTGAGGCTTTCACTCTGCTGCCTGGGGAGCTGATTAGTCAAAACAAGTAATAGATACTACTTCAAGGCTCACTTGGGCTGCTGAGCTCATTCCCACCATGGTCCATCACAAGACATCATAGCATTTATAATGTATTCTTCCGCCTTCTATGAAATTATTTTCTAAAAACTTTGTTCTCGTATCGTTTTTCTGAGCCTGGTAGGTAACAGTGTTTGATGGAGGTTGAGCCAGTGATGTGTATGCTGCCTGCAGATAGCTGCTCCAGGCATCTATAATTTGTTTAAAATGATTGGGTGGGGAAATTCTGAAGCAATCTTGAGAGAATATGTGTCGCCTTGGAGGTAATGTTCTAGTGCACTAGAGTAGTAGGTTTATTGTTCCTGGGGCTGATGGTAAGTTGAGTATATCATCAGGCTGCTGACTTGTATGCCTATCTGAGAAGAAAATGCATTGCTATAAGCCTGGAAAGAAAGTTATCAGCTCAGTAGGAAAGAATTCCACTGCAGAAAGGTGAGCAAAGAGTAGGAAAAGACATTAGTAAATGAGCAACATGTATTGACAGGGACAATGAATGCATTCTGTAGAATGTCAGACTAAAATGAAAGGCTTTAAAAATAATTTGCTGTTTGCCTCCTGCAGAATAGCTCTGTTGGAAATTTGAAGTACTTTGTAGTTTATCTTAATTTGGAAGCATTACTGGGTTTTGACTGAGGGAGATAAAAAAAGGCAAAAACCCCACAGCATCTGTACCTGAATGTTACCTGTTTTCTTTGTTGTCAATGCTTTGCTTCTGCTGTGAAAAAAATAAATTAAAAATAAGACATTTGGTCATAATTCTGAGTGGTGGAAGTGTAGGTGATGAGCACATTATATATAATTTCTGAAACGTGATTGTCAGTTTGCTGCTTCTCATCACACAAGCTGTTGTGGTGATGGCTATTTCCTTTACTATAAGAGAATAGCTGACTAAATTGGATTAAAAAGGTATTCTTGATATATTGTGAAGAAAGCATCGCTACTTTTGGGTAGAAGTAGTAAATTTTAGTGTTTATCTAGCGATGTTTTAGAATCCCAGATGGCTTTGGAAAATTGTATTTAGTTTCAATGGGTTTAACTGTGTCAGTTACTCACAACAGGTACATGCTGTTGCTCCTGTACCCAAATGCTTTATAAATAAAGCCAACATGGAATTAATTAAGCATTAGATACAACAGCATATCCTTAAATTCACACTACTCTAAAACATGCAGTAGACATTACTGATTGTGGGTAATTGCCCCTGGAAGAAAAAGGGATAAGGCACGTCAATTTTCAGAGAAGCAACAGGCTAATTGGATACCATTTATTAAAGGCAGTAAATCACTAGAAGAATTTTTCAAGTTTCAATGCACTCAATTATTGAATGTAAGTTTATGAATTCATTTCCCACTATTATTATATGCTGAAGAATCTTGATGTGTGATGTGTTCATGACTAATTGTAATAGTTTTTAAGAAGAAAAAGATCAACAGTGTAGTAAACCAGTTCTTGGTTAAAGTAGTATATGCTTAAATGTTTGAATGAGAGTTATGAAAAGACCATGGCTTAAGTCTCATTTAAAATACTTGAAATATCTGTCTATATAAGCAGGTATAAATATTTTCTTATAAGAAAAAAGTTAGACTTGTTTTAACCTTTCCTTAAGGTTTAAAGAAGCAATTATTGGAAACAACTGAAAAGTACAATTTAAATTTTCTGGCTGCTTCAGAATGTTTTTTACTAAGTTTTCATTAGGAGAACTGTGGTTTTTAGAGTCAGTTTTACAGATGTGTAAGTAGTCACTAGTTGGCACCCTGTTTGTACCTTAATAGCCAAGCCAATAGATCCAATTAAGTAAGCCTGTCTTTTGTTCCCTTCACAGTTTAGTGCTGTTTTGCTAGCTCAGTAGTGAGCTGCACTATGTTTGTGTTTGTAGTACCTGAAGGCTCTAGGCAGCTTGGTCAGAAGCAGCGAATCAGTGGTAGGTGGGGTGTTTACATTTACATCTCCTGGTTCCGTGATCTCTAGCACTGATGAATAAATCTACTACAGACAAAACTTTCAAAGGAAGTATGGCAAAATAAATAAAGTATTTCAGTACTATGTATTGTGTGCTTTATCTCTTATTTTCTTAACCCTTATCTTGCGTATTAATACTGGTGAATAGATATGAATAGACAGTTATGAGTAGCCAGGGTAGTTTTTTAAGTTTCTTGTTTGCCCAAACAACTTCTGTAGCCTACCTTGCAGTGGAAACTATAAATTGCAGGTTTTTTACGATAGTCTATGTTTGACCTTTAAGTAAGGGTTAAATAACAGTTAAATCACTAGCTATAATCTGCCCCTTGAATACGTAATCTCAGACTAACTGTGAAGCAGGTAATCTAGCCAAGGCGTCCTACTTGGAATGTCCTTGTTCTGAGATGGATTTATTCTGAACATTTCTTTTCCTTTCCTCACTGAATAGATAAAAAACTGTGTAGTGATTTGACAAGGTTTGATCTAGAACTAGTAGAACGGCTATAGAATTGAAAGAATGAATGAATCAAATAGTCCTTTAGCATAGAGAAAGCAACACATTTACTCCAAGTAAATAGCTCTTGATGGAGTTACAAAATGCCATGTTTTATTTTGGTTATTAGCAGGTTCTAGGTTGGTTGATAAAACCAAATCAATTCAGATACTTCGAGGTAATTTTGAAAAGTGTTCACGTGGTATGGATAGATATCCAGTTATACTATTTATGTGGTTGGATAGGCTGCACAAAAAGCAGGCTTGTTTTGCAGCATGGCAATGCTATGTATGAATAATGCATGCTTTTTTTTCAGATGAGGTTTTTGACAGAATTCAGATAATACATTTGGCATTGAGATTTCAGCTGTACAGTATACATATGAAGAATTTCATATTCTGAAATGACAGGTTTTTTCTTTACTTCATTTAAAAGAGGACATCTCTATCTTCACTTATCTTAAAACATTTTAATAACTGAGACTACCAATTATGTTTTATAGGATTTGATTTTTGTGCTAAGACCTTATCAAAAGCTTCTAATAAGGTGCTTTCTGCTGAGTTAATGATATGTTTTAGATGTCATTTCTTATACCTATCTTCAATAGACATATTCAGACAGTGTGATTGTAATAATCAAGGTTCAATCAAACCATACTTAGTATGACAAATATTGCGTGAGATTGTAATGCAGGTATTCGTGCTCTTGATAAAGGGCTTAATTTGACTCCTAGCAGAGACAGAGAGCCACTATTGATCTTTATATCAGAATGCAACATAGTTCTTATTTGTCATGTGTGAGGGAAATTGCTTCTTAATTAAAACTAAATAAAACACTCGCTCCAAGGTTTTATGCAGTAATACAAAAAATATCACGTTGTGTTGAAAATGTGTTCTTACACAGGTCTGTAAAGGTTCAGTTAGCAATTATTCTTAACAAACTAAAACACTTCCTAAACAGCTGCTTAAAACATCATTTGTATCCTTCCTGGAATGTTTGTAGATTTTCTGTACCCCGAAGCTCACTTGTTGTTTTTCCCTCCCCCAAAGCAAATGTCAAAGAAATATTTGAACAAACTATTATTCATCTTCAAATCCCCTTCAACTGGGATTGTGAGTTCATTCGACTGCATTTTGGACATAACAGGAAGAAGCATCTTAACTATTCAGAGTTCACTCAGTTTCTTCAGGTTAGTTATTAACCTTCTTCCAAAGTAAAATTGAAATTCATTTTCATATCTGATAATACACTAATAGCATTATAAATTTGGAGCTTATTCTGGTAGTGATATGGTTATCTGATACAATACTTACAGTTACGATGAACTGTTATTTCTCCATACTAGTTCTATAATTGGTGTGTACTCGTTGTGCTTTAACTTGAATACCATCCTATAAAAGAATGGGACTAAATACGCTGTTTATGAAATTAACCATTTTACTAATTGTTGTTAAACTGGATTGGGGGTCTACATTTTTGTCATGAGAATTTAATAGCAAAACTAATATCTGCCAGAGAAAGATAGCATCCTACACATAGCCAGTTTTTATTAACCATATAACCTCCCATATAAATGTTTTAGCTTCTTTAACATTTCTTGTAGTGTATTTATCCTAGTACTTGCCCTTTTTTTTCTCTCACTGGCGTGACTGGGAGTTTGATCTTAAATGCAGCCAACTTTGCAGGAGGTATGTCTCTTTCCTGAGATGTTGCTGAAGCACCCTCTAGGGACCAGGCTTTAAAGGATTTCACTTAGAACTGGACTTCGTGCTAAATCAAAAAGTTACAGTAAAAATAAAAAATGAATTGAACACTATACTAGAAGGAATTAAAGGAAGACATCAGTTATAAAGGAAGAAAGGAGAGTAGGAGAAATGTACATTGTGATTCATGAGAAAGGAGTTTGCAGAATTTTAAGTAGCTGCACCGTATTGCATAAATTAGCATGCAGTTATATATAACTTACCATTTTCTGTCTAGTGGACCTGAAGAAAAATAGATTATGCACTTCCAGAGCTAGCCTTTGGCATAAAATAGTTTTGTACATAAGGTCTTGAAAGTAGTGAGTGATAGATGTGCTTTAATATTATCTGTAATTATTGTCCAGGATAAAAATAGATCATAGGATCATAAGATAGTTTGGGTTGGAAGAGACCTTTAAAGGTCATCTAGTCCAAACCCCTTGCGATGCGAAGGGACATCTTCAACAAGGTCAGGTTGCTCAGAGCCCTGTCCAGGCTGACCTTAAATGTTTTCAGGGATGGAGCATCTTAACTCCTCTGGGCAACCTTTTCTAGTGTTTCACCACCTTCAGTGTAAAAAATTTCTTCCTTTTATCTGGTCTGAATATACCTTCTTTTAGTTTAAAACCATTACTTCTTGTCCTGCTAAAAAGTCTGTTCCTATCTTTCCTATAAGCACCCTTTAAGAACTGAAAGGCCACAATAATGTCTTCCCAGAGCCTTCTCTTCTCCAGGCTGAACAATGTCAGCTCTCTCAGCCTGTTTTCATAGGAGAGGTGCTCCAGCCCTCTGATGATTTGTTGTGGCCCTTGTCTGGATGCACTCCAACAGTTCCGTGTATTTCCTGTACTGACCTGTATCTGGATCTAGAGCAGATTGTAGGAAAAACATGTCTTAACTAAATAGGATCTGAAGTCTATATTGTAAATGGAGATACTGGAGTTTGGCACAGACTTTCAAGACTGCTGTTAACTTGATGTTACTTTCAAGGAATAAACTGTGTCCTGCCTTTGATACTACGTATTTTAAGTGATCCCAGGGACAGATTTGAAATACTAGTGCAGAAAAAGCCAGATTGCTTTTTTTTGTGTGGAACCCAACCCGGACCAAAGTGATAAATACTTGTTTTGATTTTATGTTTATTATTCCAGGATACTCTCATGTAAGGTACAATAACCTCTTACTGTCCTCATATATTAAAAACCCTTAGTAGGGAAGGGTGGTATGGGTTGTAGTAATATCAGTATGTACACGAGTTGGATATTGTTGTCCCTTATTTTAGGTCAGCTTATTTTTCTTACTTGGCCTAAAAGTATCTTGTGGGATTTGGGACTTGGATCAGAGCAGGCTTGTTGCACCCTGATCTAGAAAACCTTGATCTTGAGGTTATAGTAGTTGAGAAATTACTGTTAAGGTGATATAAGCTAGATAGTTTGCCCTCTTCTTATTGTCTGTCAGTACATGGTTATTATTTTTGCTGCTTCTAGAGGTCTGAATGACAGCTGAATGTGCTTTATTGTTTGCTTGAATAGAAGGAAACAACTTTTTCTGGACATAGAATTTACAACCATCATTATTATCTTGAGGTTAGGTTACTGCAGTGTGCTTTATATGAAGGTTTTTACAGATTGTATAGGAGTTTTAAATTGCCTGAAATGAGTGACCATTTCTGACATTATGGGAGGTAGCTGTTGGGGGCAATCTAAATCTATATTATATAATTTTCACTGTCCTCCTGTTTATTTTCAAGTACTTTTCAATGAGTTAGTTTATAATAGCCCAGTCGTATTTCATCTTGGATGTGTAGGAGATCAGTTCACTTTGAGTCTTTTAAGATCAATATCAGATGTTTCCCTAGCAGTTAAGTATTTAATAAAGGAATAGATAGCAGACAGGACATGGGTATATGAAGTTTATTTCTCAAATCACTTAGAGAAAGTGTGTATTTCCTTACAGTTGAATTGAGGCTTTTCCTTGACAGACGAATGAATTTGTGGTTTGACTCAGTATGCAGACTTCTCATTTTACGTGAGCTGGCATTTAAGTTTAAACTGCAGTTATGCTGTGGTCTACATGCATGGACATACTGAGGCATGCTGTAAGAATCTGAAATAAGTGGGATCTTTGTGAACAGCTAAATTACAGAAGTTGGTTCTAATCTGCTGTTTCTGGATGTTCATTCTAGGAGCTGCAATCAGAACATGTAAGACAAGCCTTCGCATTAAAGGACAAAAATAAAAGTGGTATGATAACTGGGTTGGACTTCAATGAGATCATGGTTACCATTCGTTCACATATGCTTACTCCATTTGTGGAAGAAAATTTAGTTTCAGTAAGTGTAAAGAAAAGTGCCTCGAATTCAGCATTTAATAGCTATGATATTTTAAGTTGTTACTGCTTCTATACTACTTTGTCTTCTCCTACCTGTTTATCACTGCCTTGGTGCTAGAGATTATCGCCATCATAATAGAGTGGACAGGGTGAAACATAGCAGCATTCCTTGGCTGCAGTAGTGGAAAAGTTTGGCAGTCTGGTTTACATGTTGGAAACAGTTTGAGTTAGTCTACTATACTTTTCACTAAAGCAGGGCAAAATGTACTTGGCACAGAAAGAATATTCATTTAGAACAAAAGCATCTAATTTTTATATTTGAATATATGACATTTCAAAAGGTGGAGACTAATTACAGTTTTGTCTTTTTATGTATTCTTACGTTCTGTTTCAGATCAGAATTCATAAAATCAGTATGTAGATTCTAGGGGTAGAATGCTTACAGCTGTGATAGTCTGGCAAGATCTGTAGGTAAAGTAATGACATAAAAGTTATAAACTAACAGTATGTAGTATTAAAAGTATGTAAGAATGAAAATTATATAAAATATAAACTAATATCTTTTATCTTACTATTTTACCTATAAATCCTGTCTTGTCTAACTAATAAAGCATACTGTCTTTGTAAAATTTATAGTATCTACTAACTTCAGACTTTGAAATAGTCACTGCTTTGTGTGATGCAAGAATTCAGTTAGTGCCTTTATCTGAAGCAGCATTTACATGCATTTGTCTATTAGAAATAGAGTATTAGAAAAATACTCTGTGGTACATTTAGTATGTGTATCAGATAAATTGAATAATGATCTACTCAAATGATTATTTCCTGATTGTTTCCTAATGTTTTTACCAAAAAGTAGTATCTAGTCTAACAATTCCACCCTCATGTTTTTATCAAAAATATCTTAAAATAGCGGGAGTAGAGAGATATCTTTAATTCTTTCCTTATTTCCCCAAATGGATATTTCTGTAATTTGTAATAAAATGTTGTAAAAGGGCTTAAGGTACTTAACTGCATTTCTTCTAATTTTTAAAGGCAGCTGGTGGAACTGTTTCACATCAGGTCAGCTTCTCCTATTTCAATGCATTTAATGCGCTTTTGAATAACATGGATCTTGTTAGGAAAATCTACAGTAATATAGCAGGTACAAGAAAAGATGTTGAAGTCACAAAAGGTAAAGTATGTTTCCTATATTTTATTAATGTTTTAGTTCTGTTCAATTTGTAATCTGGTGTTGCACATGAGTTAAGGCAACTTGGAAGCTGCAGTAGTATGCAAGGTTAGGGCTGCTGTGAAAAGTGTTTAAAGAGTGATTTTCATCCTCACAGGTTAGTAATGATTTTTAGCTAGCTCATTGAGGAGAAGAATTAGGATTCTGGCAGGAGCCTTGTTGGCCTTATTAGTTTGAATGGATAACTTCAAGTCAGTATGCTATTGAGGATTTTACCACTCCTTGAAAAATTGCTTGAAAGGCATGCATGGTTGCTTAGAAATAGAAAGTTCCTAGGGAATGTGATAGAATGGGTTAAGTTTGAAAATCCATCATCGGTAATCCCCATGTTGTTTTAGCTCTAGTTACTTTATTCACGATTGAATCTTTTTTAGAAAAACTGTAATAATTTATGACTTCTTAGAGCTTACTTGACTGAGTGGCTTTATATATAGTTTATGTCTGTTAGGACATAACTAATCCCTGTGCATATGAAAAGTTGCCCTATTTCAGTCTTGCTGCAGGCGTGAGTGAATTGCTTTTGTAGTCATTTTATGGCAGATTTTATCACCAATTTTATTACCTGTATGGATGGGACCAGCCAAGCCTGTGTGTGGTAAAAAGCATGCCAAGTTCCCTTTTTTTTTTTTCCTGTTCTTTGTTTGGCTTATGTTCATATGCTCTGCATACCTTTGTCCCTAAAGGAAAGCGTAAAATGCCTGTCCTCATCCTCCAAATTCTGCTAACAAATTGGCTAGCAATGTTTTTTGGTGCAGATGCATAAATACATCTTGCTTGGATTTGTGTTGTGAAAAAAAGCAAGTGTGTTTTTACTGCTCAGACTTGTTTACTGTAGCTTGCCAATTATGTCAAGAATGTGTCATGTAATTTGGCTAGATGAATACCTAAGCTTGGGGTCGTTCAGAGCTAGCAGAGAAGGAAATCTGGACATGATGGCAATAGATGAGTCAGTTGCCCTTAAAGCTGTGAATAATGGGCCATTATTCTGTTCTATTCTGTTTTGCAGAACTTCAGAAACAAGAATCGCAAATTGTGGGTGTGGTTTTATTAAGCTTGCTAATATGAGTATTTTTGTTGACTTTAACGAATTCTTACCTTAAATCAAATCTGGGGAGTAAGACTTGCTCCGTGTTGCAAGGGCCTGTTTCAAGATAGATATTCTCCTAAAGATATCTTTTCTCTTTGCATAATGGGTTTTGCTTCTTGGTGATAGATTTCATTTTGATGTTATCTAAGTTATTTGTGAGCATTTAAAGAGGAAATTTGACAAATAACACAATTACTTTATGTCTCTTTCTCTTTTGAATCCAGAGGAATTTGCCCACTCTGCAATCCACTTTGCACAAATTACACCACTGGAAATAGATATTCTCTACCAACTTGCCGATTTATACAGTGTTACTGGGTAACATAATTAATTTTAGTATTTTACAATCATTATTTTGTTGTTTTCTGTGTGAAAGCTACCGATTTTCACCTTAATTTTAAAAAGTTTTGTGTTCCATTGTATTTCATTACCAGTAATTTATTCAGTGTAAACTCACTTTGATGTATCCATGGGTTTGTAAGTGAATTGTGTACATCAGACACAATTATTAGTTGTCATATTATAGATAAACATATAAAATAGCAAAATACATTACAGTAGTCCAAAAAGGTTACAGTACACTGGTATTACTAACCCTTAAGTATTGGTGATGGTTTGCGTGGGTCTTTAACACATGTGAAATCTCAGGTAGGAATACATAGAAATAGTTTAATTTGTGTAGTATATCCCTTATTACTAGTAATCAAGAACTTGCTTCTGAATAATCCAATCTCCCTTTATCTCCGCTTGCAAGCTATGAAAGTGCCCTTCTAATTCCAAGCATTCTTTGTTGCAGTGTAGCAGACTTCTTAAACGTGCATTCAACTATGACAAGTGTTGGTTGTTTTTTTTTAAATCCAAGATGTATTCTGTGGGGTGTGGCCAGGAACACAGTATTGAATGTTTGGTGTTCTATCTAGCAGTAACTTGTTTTTCTCTGTCCTTTGTAAAGGCGCTTAACTATGGCAGATATAGAGAGAATAGCACCACTGGCTGAAGGTGCATTACCTTACAACTTGGCAGAACTCCAGAAGCAGGTAGGTAGAAAAAGAATAAAATTGTTGAAGTTAAGTGAATGTTTACATATACTTGCATATGAAAAATAAGAATAATACACTTTACATAGATTCGTAATAACTGAAACATGCTGTGTGTATTGGTATTACGATAGAAATTGGGCAGGCTATTGAGTACGCATCTAAACAAGGAATTAGATGTCATACTAGATTGGTCCAACGTGGGTCAGGGTAATCCCAAGCACAAATACAGACTGGGTGGAGAATGGACTGAGGGCAGCCCTGAGAAGAAAGTCTTGGGGTGTTGGTTGACATTGAAACAGTTACACAGCAGATTCAGAAAGGAAGGCATATATATGTGGTGAATTACATGGTTGCATAATCAAAAGTACATAGTCCAGTTGCACGTTAGTGTTTATTATGCAAAACAAACAAAAAATAGGATCTGATCTTAAAAGTTGAGCAATCTTTTGTTTTTACTGTTAGAATTTCATGAGAATTTTAATTCCACACGGAGCTCTGTATTTTTGAGTAACCTTTACAAGAAAATACAATAGTATTCATCTGAACCAGTGCATTTTGCTCCAAGGATGTCTCCACATCCCTTTTCCACCTGTTATATACAAAGGGAAGATTCTTAAGATCTTTTATGAGCGTATCCCATAGTTCTGACTAAATACATCTTTGTGTGCTCAGCAGATAAATCTAATTTTTCATCCTGAAGGTCCTCATTTTCTTACAATGTCTAAACTACTTCAATTCTCTCTCTTTCAGTCTGTTAAAAGTTTATGGGGTGCCTATCAAAACATCTGAGGGCTCCAACTCCCAAGTGAGCATCATTCTGGTTTGAGCTGGGTTCTGCTCCCAGCTGCCCACACCTCGCTTGGTACGCAGACAGCTGGGCTTCTTAGGAATCAGTTGCTGAACAACCACATCTCGCAGCTCAGCGTTTATGGCAATCTGACACTGGTGATGAGTTGTGTTAAAATGCTGTTCCCGAATTGCAGTGATTCAGCAACTGGTTCGCAAGTAGCTCAGCTATCTGGGCTGTTGGGGCAGGAGGACATACAGCTGGCAGCAATACCAAGCTACACTGTCTCCCATAAAATGAAGTTCAGATTCTCTACCGTGGTGATGCCAGTGGCAGATAGTACTGCTGCAGAGTGGTCTGAAGAAAAGTAGCAGCGTAGTGACAAAAATCACCCATGCCTTATTCGCCACATGAATGTTCTGAATTTGCCAGTGGATGAGGGATCCTAGGAGTCTATCTGAAAATGAAAGCTCATGTTTACAAAACCTTTTATTTCTCAGCTCACTTGTTATGCATATTGCAGAGGTTCCTTTAAGCAGTTATATCTACTACAAAATCTAGGATATGTATTAGCGACAGGAAAATCTTGAATTAGTTCAACTGCTATGATTGGAAATTTGTCCTATGTGGAATATAGCAAGTCTTCCATGCATGAGACTGAGCATATTTTGGTTACTGTTATTACAGGTGGATTTGATCATTCAGTTCTCTTTAAAACAAATTGGTCTGAAACACAGTATCTGTTCTGTTCTTAATGATTAGACACGTAAGCCAATGAAATAAGTGTTCAAAACCTACTTAGTGGTAACAGTCTTCCTATAGACTTCTGATGACAAAAATGACAGAATGGATTGACACAGAAATGCATATACAACCTTTATCCAGACTAATGAGAAATACTTTTGATGAAGTTTTGTAATTACATTCCTAACTGCCAACTTTGGTTTCAATCAGTGTCTTTGTATTCACCTTTCTCAATAGACAAAATACTGACTTGTTTTATTTTACACTTCAAAATTACCTTTGTAGCTTGGCATTGTTATAAAATGAGCTCACTGATAAAAGTTTCACTCATCACTAGAACAGAATATACTCTCTTCACACTCCTGGAGTAAACCATTATGTTTTCATTCTAGTCTGCGCTCTGTGTTAAGAGAGGACAACAGAAAGCAAAGTAATTTCATTTTCTTCTATTTATAAGGAACAGTCTTTTAATAGACCTTATCCTAAGTGAACCTTTTATTACCTTATTTAACTGTATTGACAAAATGAAAGATACCCTTTCCTGGAAGAGAGAATATCATCTCAGAGAGGTCCAGCTGTCCCTGAAAAATGAAACCAAGTCTGTAATCACTTGTATATGATTTTAAAATTCCTTCTTAAAGGAAAATCTACATTTTTACATAAAGTCACTCTATGTAGGTTTGGTGGAAATGGAAATTAGCCTGCTTTGAACCATGTTTACTTTATTGTCAATTTTTTTCATTGTGTAAGATCTCCTTAAAGCCTAGCAGCTGAATATCCTATGGGGATGACAGCTACAGTAATTTTCTGTTTATAAATATTCATGATTTGAAAGCTATAGCATTAATTACATTCATTTACATATCCATCTGAACACACAAGTAAACTGCAAACTTTGTGAACACTTATTTAATAATATAAAAGTGACATTTCCTTCAGAAAGAGTTTGATTTTTAACGTCCAATGATGTATTCATTAAGATTAATGTCTGAATGCAATGATTCTATGATTGAATTTTGATGAGAACTGTGTGGAGCTTAGAAAAAGAATAACCTTAAAACAGCTAAAAAGAAGCAGGTGTGCTGTACTAGGAGAAAATTTTTGTGGCAGGAAGAACCACTCCCACTTGTAAGCTTTTGTGGGCTGTTATTATTGCATGTGTCTTTTATTTATATCAATCAAAAGAAATATCTCTGTATTTTAGGATTTTTTTATGTGCATGTGTGGTTATTTTGTTTTTATTGTGAACTTTTTTTTTTTTAGATAGGAAAATGTAGTGTTTGAGAATAGTGAGGGCATTCTTCAGATTTATTGCTTCTGATTGCTTGTAAAGGCAATACATTTGATTTAAGCTTTTATATGCTGGTCTGCATATGTGCACTTTATCATTTTGATGCTACCCTAGAATTTCTCAATTCTTCTCTGTTAACCTGTGTTGTGCGAGAGGAAAATGTCTTGTGGAAGCAAATGATGGTAGCCATATCTTTTTCTTCTGTGGAAAAACTGTATAAAATACAATTAATGGTTTTTTACAGGTAATGATCCCATCTTAGTCTTATAGGCTTTTATCCTACATTTTGTACATACAGTGTAACATTGTGTGATAAAGGCAGGGTTTTGCACATCCAGTGTAATATCAGTCCAAACAAAGTAGCTTATACTAAGGTACATGCTGTATTTCTGGGGATATTTCACTTTTCAGAGCTTCAGTAACTTGACCTTAACTTAGTTAAGTAGCCTTGCTGAGTTAGCTGTGAAATGTACATATGATTATCTTTGTGAAGAGTTCGTAGTGTGCATCAGAGCAAAGCCTTCCATAGCAGTCTGTGGTCTGTATACATTCCAGCTATGCTGTCAGGAGCGCAGCTGCTAACATCACAGGGTGCTTTTAAGAAAAACAGGTTTGTTTTTGGGAGATGGGCTTTAGTATCTGCTTTAATATGGAATTTAACAGTTAATATCTTGGCCACTAATATAGCCTAGGCAAGTTATACTGCATAACAAATTCTTCTCTAATCCCTTTATTTATGTTTGGAAGAAAATTTGGCCTATGTTGCATACTCTGTAGTGCAAGTTTGTGAACACTTACATCTTGCTTATCAGTTACCTTGTTTCTAGTAACCATCTAATAATATGAGTCTCTGCGAGTATTTTCTGTGCAGGCCTATATTTCATTAGAACACTAATACATTTATAGTAGTGTGTGTGATTGAAGTGAGGGAGGTCATCATTGTGTCTGTAAATCAGCAACTGCCTGAAAAAGACTTGTGGAGAATACTTTGGGGAATAATTGACTTTCTGCTGTTTTGAAGACATGAGGTGTCATGTTTTTGCTATGTGTTAATGTATATGTAATCTTAAAATTTATCCCATGCTTGATAGATGCTATTTGTGAAATAATGAATTCCTTTTGAGGTAATGAGTTTTGTTTGAGCCAAAAGGGGGAGATAGATGCCATACAAACTCAAAGGCAACAGAGTGGAAAGTAGCGAAGTTGATCTGAGTTTCTGCCTGCTTTTTCTTGACCATAGCTCTTTTAGTTATACTAGGAATATATAAGGAAGAATATTTTCTGAAAGGAGTATTTGAAAAAAGTGCTTTATTTATTGGGTGTAATGGAAGTTATATAGTAATTATTTGTCAGAGTCTTTCTGTACCATTATAAAAGCCCATTCACAAGCATCTTTGTTTTCCCATGCAGACTTTCAAGCTCTTTTTTTTTTGTCCTTTTTTTCTTTTTTTTTTACCCCCCCCCCCCCCCCCAGCAATCTTTTGGAGAGTTTGGCAGGCCTATCTGGCTCCAGGTAGCAGAGTCAGCTTACAGGTTCACTTTGGGCTCAATTGCTGGAGGTGAGTAATACTTCTCTTTTCAAGCTTGGGTTAGTTTAACACTGTCTTGCCAGAATACTTGGTCTCATCTAAGGTGCATTTTTTGGTAATACACATGAAGAATTGGAGGGTGGAGCTGCTTCTGGTTGTGTCATGCCCTTTCCTTATCGCTTCTGTTCTAGTATCTCTCCACAGTCCTCTGAAATTACACCAGTAATGAAATTCCTTACTGGTAGTTCAGATTGGTTTTCTTTGTTTTACACACCTTGCTTTAAGTTACTGTAATTCATTCTCCTTGAGCCTTTTTTACTACACTTTCAGTATTGTCCTTTCTTACTTTCAATATATCAGAGATCTTACCAGCTTATATATTCTTTGTGTTTAAAAAAATGTTGTAGAAAATTATATACTACAACAATGATGGTGCAGAAATAATACTCAAATGCTTTCTTACAGCTGTTGGTGCGACTGCGGTATATCCCATAGACCTGGTGAAAACGCGCATGCAGAATCAGCGCTCCACTGGTTCAGTCGTAGGAGAGTTGATGTATAAAAACAGTTTTGACTGCTTTAAAAAGGTTTTGCGTTTTGAAGGCTTTTTTGGTCTTTACAGAGGTAAGTGAATAAAAAATAAATGTACCAAGTCAGGGATTTTCTGCCTCTTTTTTTAATACCTCAGCAGCTAGTTTCTTAGGGGAAAACCAGCTGACTTGGTATCATATACAATTTTGCTTCTGTTTCATAGAGCTCAGTATGTATCTTCCCTTCAGCAGCGTTCATCATAAGCAATTACTGGGAAAAACTGGGAATATTTTTGTTACTGATTTGTTCTGTGCTTCTTAGGTTGCATAAAGTCCTAATTTCTGGGATATGAGTGTTGTGGACATGATTGTTATCTCACAAATTGAGGATTGTAACTTTTGGCTGAGGGCAAGTACCAGGCATATTAGCATCTGAGGAATAAAGATCCATTTTACTGCAAATATTTTTTAAGAGACAAAAGACAGTAATTTTGAAACGTACCTGTCAACTGGATGCCAGTTCTTATGCCTCATAGTTTTGCAGTCAGTGGGACTTGTTTTATCCTGTGAACAAAAAATTGCATCCTGTTATGTTGCTCTATTTTACTTTAAAATATCAACAGTGGAACTCATAAAAGTTGTAATTTAAAAAAAACTCAAAAATCCTCTTCTAAAGTACAGGCTAAGAATTCAAAACAACTTTAATCAGTTTTATCAGTTAGACTGAAAGCTATCTTATATCTTGTTTTAGCTCAGAAGATTCTGAAAGGGTTTTTATCACATCAGTAAAGTGACTTACATGGAGGGCCCATGCTAGTCAGTCCTCTGAAATCAATATTTAGTTGAATTCTCTATTTTCAATTGTCATTTCACCTCAATAATGAAGTGCACGGTTGTCATAAGGATCAGTAAGGTATTTGATGATCTTAAGGTCCTTTCCAACTCTAACTATTCTATTTACTAATTGGCACACTTTTGTTTTTTAGTTGGAGAAAAGTCACTCACTTCTGTGATGGTCACAGCCTTTTTTTCTGCTTTGCAATGTGTTCTGTCAGTGAAGACACTGGACAGTGTCCTTTAAGGACAATATCTGGGAAGTTTTTGCATGTGAAAGTCTGGATTCTGGCTAAAGAGATCTTTGTAATCTTGCAGGATTTTGCTATGCAAGTGGGTAGAGGGAGGAATATGTCAGTGAAAATGTTAATGAAATAGCTGTAATTGCCATAAATAACATCTTATTGGCGAATTGTTTTCCTTTTTTGTTGCTAATCTTTTGCAACAGCAAATACTCCATGAGTTACATTTATGTGACTATTTCTACAGTGCTGTTCTATGGTACTATTATCTTTTCCACTCAATCACATGGTTTTGCAGGGCAGCTTCTAAAACTGATCGTTTGTTATTTTTATTTTTGTTTTCTAAACTTTCTCAAATACTTGGAAATCAAAGATGATTTCATTAATGAGTTGGAACCACTGCTTTACACTTGAGAAAAAATGTGCTTGTTTGAGAGAATGTCAGTTTGTTAAGCTTGTTTATAGTCATTAATAATTGTCTTTAGGATTGTTTAGGGTAAGAAGTTGTTTTGAAAATACTGCAGTTAATGGTCAACGTGTTACATCTTGGACTGATAGAATGTTACCACTTGGTCTGTGGAGTATATTAAAGTAAACAACAGAAACGTTTATAGAGTTGGTTAAAGTCCTTTACTCAACGATGCACGTTTGGCACTCCAAATGTGTATGCCCAATGAGTTCATCTTCATGAAAGGGGGAATTGTCTTGTGTTTTGTCTGGTAGTTTTGGGTTTTTAAAGTGTAGGCACTGCAGAGCTGGATTTTCTTTTCATGGTAGATCAGAGATTCAGGTTGGGAGGGCAGCATTTCTTTTGTTATTGTCAACCTTTCTTTGTGTTTAATAACTACCTTTCCTCAGCGTAGTAAGTCTGTAAATCACACAGAAAGTATTATGTTGGAAGAAAACACTACGCTGCATATATTAACTGCTGCTCTGTCTATTTAGGTACCTTTGCTCTGAGCTTCCTTTCAAGGAAATAGTATAAAAATTCTGCAGGCTGAGTACTTTTGGTAATTTTGAATTTTAAAATGAATTTTTAGCTATTATTCTTTTCACTTAACGGATAGTGGAAAGCTGCATCTGTGCAGTTTTATTCCTGTTATCTGATCTTTGATATAATTGGTGTGGGATTTTTTGCTAGGTAACTGGCAAACACTTCTGACAAACTGATATTCCATAACCATGGAATAACATTAGGAAGTGACCACTTCTTAGAAAAATAACCCTTTTAAGTTTTATAACCTATACATATGCCAAAAGGGTTGTGGAAAAAATGGATTTAAAAGTAAAAGATACAGTTATAGTCTTGTATGTTAGGAAGTTAAGACTGCCATCTACTGATTTTTTTTCCTTAAACCTATTAGTTCCTAGAAAAGTGTATGTGCTTTTGTCAAATGGCAGATCATTTTGATAGCAGCTATTTACCAAGAGCAAGGGCCTTTTCAAAATCGGTTTCTCTTCGCTAATGCTTCCTCTGGGTGAGATAAAAAATACTTTATAGTAATAGGGTTTACAGAAGTTCATGCTACCATGTTGGACTGAACAGAGAAAATCCTTTATGTGCTTAGTCGACTGGAGCCTTCAGAAAACCCCGGTCAGTGAGTCAAGTAGAAATGAGTTGACAATTTATCAGTCGTGTACATCTCACAATTACTCTCCTATTTTAAAAGGAATTGTAAGCTTTATGGGAAAATTATACTAAGTTGTAAAAAAGTCAGATGAACTCTTATGTAGTAGAAATATCTAGGGTGTATGTTCAGTCCTTTTTTTTACTTCTGTGCAGCAACAGCATCAGGCTTGGCTTGGTTGTGGAAGGCAGATCTGGTCACCCTTTTCATTACCATTTTCAACAGAAATCTTAATATAAAGTTGTGTTTGTATGAATATTCAGTGCTCTAGCAGCATCACATACTTAAATGACATCCACCTCAAAGGATATCCCATGTGCAGAAAGGCATTTCTGTAGAGCTCTTATAAAATACTAGTTTCTCTATTAGGAAGATAATGTTGCCTTATGATGTCTTTGTTTCTATAGGCTTGTTACCACAGCTGATAGGTGTTGCTCCAGAAAAGGCTATTAAGCTAACTGTACGTACCTTTTTTTTTTTCCTGGCATCCTTTTGTTTGTTAACGTAACAGGATTTATTTCCTAAAATGTGTGAAAGATGACCACTTACAAGCACTCTAATATGTATGGTTGCAGATGTACTTGATATGTGTTAATAAGGAGGAAAAATAACTTAAAATTGTGTGTAATGTATTGTATCGTTATTAGGTTAATGACTTCGTCAGAGACAAATTTACTAAGAAAGATGGTTCCATTCCACTTCCTGCAGAGATCCTTGCTGGAGGCTGTGTAAGTATCCGTCCTGTATTCCTAGGGAAAAATTATTCTTGTTTTCTGTTTGGAAATCTTTGCATACTTCTGAATTGAGTTACTTTGGAATTATGTGCTTGATCAACTTCTTTTGGCCCAGTTTCTTTTTCAGTTTCAGCAGTGGTTTTATTCACAAAAGGCTAAAGAGAAGGGACCTTTCTTCCCTTTCCATACTTTTGCCTGGGTTGGTGTCCATGGTTCGTTTGGAAAGATAGCAGTACTCCTTGAGAAAGGATTATAGAGATGATGTTTGAGAAGTTTTTCGGGGATAGAACACTTTAAAAGATCTATTTCTTGCTGAAGATTTTAAGAATGGAAAAAAAATACACTCTTCACCTTGCTATATGTGATTTTTTTTTTGTTTGTTTGTTTTCAAAAATGTGGAAAAACTGCATGATATGTAGCCTTACTTCTCAGGTAACAGGTATGAGTGAATTTTCTGTTTAAATGACTGTATGAAATGTAGCCACATTACTCCGGATGCTAACTACGACCATCATCTAAATACAGCTCAAAACGAAACTGTGTTTTCGTGGGCATTGGGGGCTGTAATTCAGTGGATCTCTCTTAGCAATCTGTAAGTGGTTTGAATTGATATTGATGATAGATTTCTTTCGGTTTTGCACATTAGCTAATTTCATTTGTGGGATTCCCCAACAGTTGTTAACCCTATAAAATGTTTAAGGCTTGATTTAGGTTTCTTTTGTAGCAGAGAACACTAATAACTTCCAGTTGAGTAGGCTGACAGGCTGGTATAAATCCTCCTCAGCTTACAACAAAACCTGGGGCAGAAAGGTTGTTGACCTCTGCAAACTTTTAATTCAAAGAAACAGCCCTGAAGGGAGGCTGCTTATAGTTCTGCCTGATTGAATTTGGCAGCCTAGTGCATGCTTGAGTCTTCACCTGTCAGTGTATAAAGTTTATTTTCCGAGAAATGTGAGAAAGCAGCTGTGATGTATAGCTAAAAAAGACTAACCTTTTTCTGCAAAACCCAGTAACACACAAAGCATTTGTAACTGAAGTAAATATAATTCATTAGTGTTTTTCTCTGTGTTGTGCTTAAATTCATAATTAAAATCAAGCATCTGATAATCAGTTTTATTATTTTATGTTCTTTTTTACTGAAATATATAATATTGAATTGAGTTTCAGATAAGCTTTCAGAAATTCAGATATTTCTGGGAAGCTGGGCAGATTTGTAATCTGTCCAAAACACAACCATTTCTTCTAGTTGACTGTTTCAGCTGATGTTCTCGTCTCCTTTTTCAAGATAATCTCACTCAATCTGGGAGAATTTTAAACCAAGCTGGCCTTTGTAGAAGACAAGTTTGCTGCAGTTTGGCAACCTCAGGCGTGTTAATGTCTTTGTTGCCTCCCCTGGATCATCTGACGCCTTACAAATTGATGATTTTTCTATCTGTACTGCTGTACATTTTCCATTTTAGCAATTTCACTTCTGCCTAAATACCAGAATCTTTATTAGCAAGCCTATAAAGTTTATTCTGGAAGTCTGAAAGTATCAGTTGACTAAAGCAATAGCAAGTTGGTAGGTTAGTCTTTCTTTTGTCATCCTCAGTCCTTTTCATTCTCATTGTGGCAGCCCTTTTCTATGTTGACTTGCTTGGAAATAGTGTTGACCTTCACACTTCTGGTGTTCAATGTATACTGGTTTTCTACAGAATATTATGAAGCATAACTGACAGTAACATCCAAGAAAATGCCACAAGTAAGCTTAGTCCCTTCCTATGTGCAGGGGTATGCAAGACTTTCTATTTTGGTGATGCTACCTTTCTTCATGTTTTGTTTATTCTATTCCTTCTCTCTTTGTTAATAGAAGATTATGGGCTACTGTGGGACTGTTTGGATTTTGTATATTTTTAAATTATTTTCAGCACCTGGATGTGGGTAACTTGGGTTTTTTGGCTTTTCTTTATTGTTCAACACTTAAGTATTTTGTTAATAGTTCACTATTAATATAGGCTAAATTCAAAACATGCTTTTAACCTTGTCATAACATCAGAAGGAGCAGCATTATGTCTGTACGTAGCTCTCGGATGTACTTATTGCTATCTGTGACTGTCACTTGCCTGTGTTTAGTGCTGAACTTTTTCCTGATTAACAGGAATAATGCACTTTTTCATCATTTCTGGTGTGGAACTAGTAGTGGGTGAGCAAAATGAGAGAGCCATATTTTCAGCCCCTTTATAGAGATTAGAGCAGAGGCCTTCCTGACCTTTGAAGGCCCACCCTCTTGTGAGCTGTACAAAAGCACATTGTGCATGCTATAGTCCTCAACGATGAATCAAAAAAATCCTTGTGAGGAAATGGAGGCAGCTTGGGCAAGGCTCCAGCAGACCTAGCAGATTTTCCTCTCTGGCTGGCAGTGCCATATCAAAGCTCATGTATAGTGTTAACAGTCTTCCAAGACCTGCACATGAGGACAGGTGAAACCTCTGATATTAAGACAGTAGTGATTTAAGAGAACTTGTGTAGGCTGTTCATTATCCTCAGCTCTGGAGTGTCTGTAAGAAGTGCTATGCCATCCACAAAGAGACTACCCACAGACATGTGCCTCCTTCAGAAACAGTAACTCCAAGAGACTGGATCTCTTGTGCCAAAATCTTATTTCTCAGGCTACAATTATTCTCAGCTCCTGTAAGGTTATAGAATAAACTCCTGTTCCCAGTAAGAGGAAATGTCTTAATTCTTGTAGCTGTTAACAAAGATGCCGCCCATGAAGTGGCCTGTTTACATGGTTAGCTGCCTGTCTGTTGTCTTTCCTTCCTTACTGCAGGGCAGGGACCTCCCGCAGGCAGCCCGTGCCCTGTGCTCCTTGAAACCTACCTGCTAGCCGCTGGGCAATGTAAATGTCGTTGGGAAGCGTAGGGTCTGCGCTGTCAGAGCCCAAATATTCCCAGCTGCTCTCAAGCTGTAGCTGTATTTGAACGCTGCAGAACGGCTGTGTGGGGCAGCTCAGTTACAGTGGTCAGGTCATACCTGTCAGTGAAAGGGCTCTGGTCCCTGGTGGATGAAACTGATATCCCATCTTCCCACCTTCCTGAGAGTATGCTGGTTTGTTAATCATCAACAGCACTATCCACACTTACACATGTTCAGAGCAAGCAATTTCTGTCCCTACTGTTACTGTAATTAATTGAATTACATTTCATTGTAATTCAGTCATTAGCCTGCATTCCTTGTCAGTGAAAGGGCTCTGGTCCCTGGTGGATGAAACTGATATCCCATCTTCCCACCTTCCTGAGAGTATGCTGGTTTGTTAATCATCAACAGCACTATCCACACTTACACATGTTCAGAGCAAGCAATTTCTGTCCCTACTGTTACTGTAATTAATTGAATTACATTTCATTGTAATTCAGTCATTAGCCTGCATTCCTGTCAGTTGCAGGGAGACCCAGTGAGACTTTGGCAATACTTTCCTGTATCCTGACAGTGGCTGGGGAAGCAGGGAGTGCACACCTGATACAGACAGTGCTTCTCAAAGGAGCACACGCATGACGCATGTGACTGCATCATGAAGGGCAAGGTGCTGTAGGGCAATTCTTTGTCCTCAGTTGGGAAGCAGTGTTGAAGCAGACATCTAATGGTATGTAAATGATTCATAAGTACTGTTACAGTGGGCAAAGATGCTGTGATTTTTAAGTTGTAATTTTTATGAGTTACGTGGGAGGAAACGGATTCTTCCCATCATTCGGTGTACACAGTGCTTAATGTTTTGAATGGATGAATCCTGTCTGATCAGAAGACATTTCCGATTTGTGCTACAGGAAGGAAGAGGATGTGGGGTGCCAGGCAGAAAGGGTCTAAGAACCCTTCTTGGAGGTGTAAACAATGCATCTGTTGATGATTAGGGGTTGAGGGGAGTGTGTGTGTGTCTGCACATGCATACACGTCGAGGTCCAAATTTACCATTGATTTAAAAGCTTTCATATATTTAAACATTAAATGTAACATTTAGTCTAAATATTTTGGGCATACTTGTAAAAAGAATTTTTATAAGAATTTATACATACATGCACACACATGAACATGTGTAGACTTACCAGGCAAATAGGAACGTGTCAAATATTTATTTTTGAAAAAATATTTTAAAATATTACTGGTTTATTTAATAAACACAAAAATATAGAATTATAGCTGTCAGACTCCTTCAAAATCTTGAAGATACTCTACTTCTTTTAATATACTTTAAATAGATAAAGTAAGAAGCAGAATTAAACTTTCCTGCTTTATCTTGATCTCTGTTGTGGACATTTAAAGTTAGGGATAAAATTATTGTTTAGTAAAAGAGACAGTAAGCTTGCTGTAGGTGCATGAACAATGACAGCTTTGCCTTGAGACAGAAGTGCAAGTTGTTTAGATGTTTTAAAACCAGACTGTTTTAAGTAACATCCTTTTTTAGCTGCTTGTAAGGACATAGTTGTGGTCCAGGATGCGGTGGTTTCAAAAAGGAAGGAAGGAAGGGCTTGAAATAGGCCTCTCCCCTTTGTAGCATATGCCTCTCGGGTGGAATTGGAAAGGGCAAGAGGTCTCATGTTGCAGGGTCATTTGTGTATTTCCTTCAGCCTTTGGCATGTCATGGGGCGTTTGCTGTGGGATCTCAAACTACATCTTTTCTCTCATAACCTTTGCTGTCAGATTTAGTTCCTTTATTTGCTCCTTGTGGAGTTATTTTACATGACATTAAGGTTAAGTAGAAGTTTTTATTACTGGTATTTTTTATGTGTATGAATAACCTCCATTCAGAAACAAATTTGTCAACCTTTTTTAAAGTGTCTGTTGTAATTTGTGTGTGAAGAGAGGTTTTTATGGGGGGAAAATCTAGATTTAGTGCACCTTCTCCAAAAGTTTAAGGACTGCAATGTATACCTCTGTGTATATATATACATGTGCACGTGTATTTAACACACATAGTTGACAGCTGAAGTAAGATACTTTGAAAAAGAGTGATCATGATTGCCAGTGATTGCACAGAAGCATGGAGAATTGTATTGCAACCCTCCATGTTCATTTTTATATGGAGATTCTTTGTGTCATTCTTCTCTGCATCCTCTTCTGGGGAGTGCTCTCCCTCTGCTCCCCAGGCAGCACTCTCCCCCACCTCACCCGTTCTCTGTCAGATAGATAGGCAATCCTTTACTTAAAAAAACCCCACAAATGAAAAACAAGTCACATTAATAAAAAAAAAATACACAATGAAAAAGTGAAGCTTTTTGTGTTACATGTTCTGTATTAAAGTCAATGTTTGTCTTATCTGTACTTGTGAAGGACCTAACTCATTTGTGCAACTCCACTGAATTCAGTGCCCCTCTAAATGTGAATTAAATCACTGCTTTGCAGAAAAGTTTGCTGAACTCCAAGTGTAACAGTATGAAGAGTCTTCAATAGAAGTAAATATTGCTAATAGGGAGTTTTTAAAGGAGTATCTTGACACTCACAGCTCTTTTTGATAAAGCTGCCTCTCGAAGTTTGTCAACACTGTGAATACTCAGTGTTCAAAGTGTAATTAAGAGCTTTTCAAATGGTTTTCTACTGATAATAAAGCATATGCTAGGGTTTTCCTTATATTTTATTTTGCTCAATAACCATCATCAAGTCATATTTTAATATTATAATATATATTTTTAACTACATACCATTTGTAGCATTGTAGATATGATTAGTATTGCTACTAAATTATTAAAATACGTTGTATTTAGAGTCTTCTCTTTTCATTTCTGTATCAGAAGAAGGCTATTGCTGATTTGAACAGAAAGGTAGGGAGTTGTACACCTAGGAGAGGAGAATGTTAATTGCAGGAAGATTGAATTCAGGGTAGAAAATAGAAATGTTTATGAATTGGCCTATTTGTGTTTCTATAGTGGGTGTTAGGCAAATAGGAAGAGTTATTTCAGCTGCTCTGCAGGATGTGCTAATTTGTAACATTAAAAATAAAAATGGAATATCACATATATGTAAACAAAGAATGCATATTTAATAGGCAGGTAGCTGGTAATTGTCTAGAAGGAGTGAATTTCTAGCTTAGTGTCTAAATTTAAAGTTACTTGACTTTTTTGGGTGGTGCATTGTATTATGAAGTAAGAGCATTCTGCTTAATGTTTTGTCTACCAAATTATATTTAAAATGATGTAAGGAAATGATAACATTTGGAATTGGTTTTCTGTTTAATGCAGTATAAAAAAGAATTTGTTGTTGTTTAACAGAACCAGCCAGATGTCAATTTTATAACTTTCATTTAGATGGGAACTTTGTCTGGCAGGACAGACCCTTCATCTTGCATGTATAGCTTGGCATGAACTGGGAAGGAAAAAGTGAGATGAGAAGTAAAGAGAGAAGAATGGCTTTGGACACAAGCGATGTCAAGTAACTGAGTAAACACAGTGCAGTAAGTCCAAGGAACAGAGAAGATGTGATCAGTTTGTCTGGTCTGGGAGTTCTAGTGATCTTCCTGATGGTTGCAGTAAATGTCCACAAAAATTTAGGGTTTGATTTTCTTTCAGAGAGGTGAAGAAGTGAGGGAATAAAACAAACATTAACAACGTAGACTGATCATTTGAGTGGAAAGTGTTAAAGACAGTAACTACTTCAGTGGAGGTAATTAATCAAAAGCAGGGGCTGATCTCCCACTGTTTGGGTCAACGTGCTTTAGTCAAGTCATAACAGTGATGGTTTGAAATGTCTATTGTGTGAAGTAATAAATGGGACTTCCAATAAAGGGATGCCAGTGTGCTCAGTAAAAGTCCAGAGAAGCGTTGGATGCTTGATCAGTGAAGATTTTGATGCTTCATGCACACCATCTCATAGATACTACCCTGGTGCTTGGTACATTCTCTGTGAGAGCTGTTGAGGTTTGGAATGCTCTTTTGTCTCAAGTCTAGAGTAATTCAAGTCACCAACTTCTAAGCCATGCTTCAGGGCTGATCTCAAGTTTATTCTGCCTGCTGCTGGAGAGAGGAAGATTGTGCTATGGGCAGAAAGGATTAGTGTTCATTAGTTCTGAAGCAATTAGCAGAAAACACCATACATGCTGTCCAGGAGGTGCTGTAGCAGCCTATTGATTTTACTTCACACATACATCCCCAGCATTGCAAAAGACAGTTTGTTTCCTGGGCAATTTAGAAGTAGAAAAAAGCTTTAATTGCAGATGTTCTGCATGTTTTTCCTTCACTAAAATTTGATGGGTCAGAGAAATATATCGGGGTTAAGAAGAGCTTTTAGATTTGAGTAAGAAATGCTTTTTAAAGTTGTCTGTATTCAAGTGATTATATGCCATAAATTTTAAGGAAGTGGGCTTAATTTTTAAATGAAAGAAGTTGGTTTAGGAATAAGAGGGAAAAGGAAGCTCAGTAAAATTTAGCTGTTCTGTGATGAACCACACACTCGTCCAGAAGCAAATGCTGTAGCACCTACAGCAGACCAAGGAGAAATCTAAACATGTCATTTTAAATAGGTTTATGTGCTTCTGAAACTGAACTGTCAGACTGAATCCTTCTCAAATCTGAAACGTATTTCTTTGAAAGCCTAGTTAAAGAAGCGGCTGAAGCAGCTCTGCAACACTATTGCTAGGAAGTTTGCAAGATAGTCCTTCAGCACTGCTAACGGAGTATTTCCTGCATGTAACATCTGCCATGCTCAGCTCAGAGAAAGATAGGACTCGTGTTTCCATCTAGTATCATATATTGAAATGTTCCTCTTCCTATTTAAATTTCATATTTTGTTTCCACTTAGGACAATTAAAGGCTGCTAAACAAAACTCCAAACACCTTTTCTAATAATTCAAAATTACACCATTAAATGCAAATTTACCTTTTAAACAGCATCTCTGCTAAATGCAAATAACATGTCTACATGTTGGCAATGGATTATTACTGAATAAACATAAGGTCTTCTTTATATGTGTTTTATATTCTAAGTAGCACAAGCCTGCCTATTAGTTCAGTATTTTGTGTAATACCTTAGACTTTTAAACGCACCCATGACTTCTAGAAAGTGGTGTCAAGGAGAAAAGCAGAGACAGGCTGAATTAATCCACTTTTGTGGCCTATAAACATATAAGTAAAAAGATATATTTTGTGCAAACCCATGATTTCTGATTTGGGGCTTTTAGCTTCTGGACAGGTATTAAGTGTATGTCATATTTTTACATGAGATTATCAGCCAGTGCAGTGAGAAGCGAATGCACTCGGCACCTTGCAAAATTTAGTCTGTCACCACATGCTCTAGTAATGTAATTTATTTTCTTTTTCTTTGGGTTTGCAGGCAGGAGCGTCCCAGGTCATCTTCACTAATCCTCTGGAGATTGTAAAGATTCGGTTGCAGGTAGCAGGAGAAATTACTACAGGACCCAGAGTCAGCGCCCTCTCTGTTATAAAAGATTTGGGCCTTCTTGGCCTTTATAAGGTAAGTATTTATTTCTGCTTTGAGTGGCTTCATCATTTTATGTTTTATGCTAAGCTTTTCCATTGTTGAAACAAAGCCTGTTTAAAACAAAGACATCTTTTGAATTTAAAACCAATCTCTTCCTGCAGGGCAGATCCACAGTGGAAAACTGAAGAAACCCCACTTCTATATTAATGGCAGTGGGATACAAAAAAATACTCCCCCATGCTATCCTTTGGGCTTTTATGCCAAGCTACAGGGAGTCCTGTATTGCAGACCTGCTGGCTTCTGGCACCGATCATTTCATTTGGTGGGGTTTTGTGGAAAGTTTCTGTAGCTTTTCCCTGTGTGTTTCTTCTTATGTTTATTTTGAATCTATTGTTATCTTTGCAGCAGGATATTCTCTTTGTCTTAATAATTTGATGGCAGTGAAACAGTAGTAGAGTTTAGTAGGATTCAGATTTTTAAGAAGTGGAGGGATTTGTCAATAACAAATTCCACTTAAAAAAAAAAAGCCCATACTGTACTGTACTTCAGCAGAATGCCAGTCAACAGATTCCTTCCCTGCAGGTATACTTACTACCATCATTACAGATCAGATGTAATGGAGCAGAAGCTATTAGTTTTCTTAAACAAGGAAGAGTATTTCTTCCTGTATCTTCTGCCAGTGCAAGGGGTAATACGTAAATTCTGCACTTGTAGTAGCTGTGCACTTACAAAACACTGTTTTACATGATCTGTCCATAGACCTGCAATAATGCTATAAAAATGTGCAAATTTACTTTTAGACCCAAAGCTTTTGTTTTGAATTCAGTAGATGAGATTCAGGGCCATTAAAATTCCTAAAGATCACAGGTATTTTGGTACACGGGACAAAATTACCATTTCTGTTTGCAGTAATTAATCAGTTGAGCTTACTGAAAACTCTGCTGTTCTTTAGAATTGCATTCTTATTTGTGAATAACTGTAAGAACTCATTTTAGAGTATCTGTATGAAAATAATTGAAGGAACGGGGTCTGCTTAAACCACGAAGGGTTTGTAATGTGTGCTGTCTGTTAATATAACTGATGGCTGACTGGCCTTAGGTGGCTGCATTGTGTAGAGTCTCCTGGCTAGGTGTATACCAGTTGGGTATTTAGGCAAGGAGTGGCATTTTTGTAACGTGCAGGGTATGCAAAAGAGATTTTTTTATTTTTTAGTTTTTTTTTTTACATAGAAAGGCTCATTTGAGCTTTGTATAGGAGTTATTTTAGTTAGTAACAGACTGATGACTGAAGTTACTAAAAGGACAGTATTAGATATGTTTTATTCCAGGTATTCCACTGTTTTTACATCATGCAAAGTTCTGTTAAGGGACTCTTCAATGCCAGTTTGTGGGTAAGAGCTACTCCTTGTAGTACTATCATAGGCCACTAGTTTTGTCTCCTTGTATCTTCCCCTTACTAAACAGCTCCCATTTTGCAGAAGTTGCCCTCTATTTGCTGACCTTCCAGTGCAGCTTCTTCAGTCAACCAGATGACTATCAGTGGAGACCAGTATGAGGTCTTACAGTCCTCACTGATAAAATACGGCATGCAAAGACTTGTCTTGCTGCTTCTTTGATTGTGGGTTGTTGTCAGCAAAATGTAAGGACAGACCTTTGTTGCTTTCTTCATCACACTTGGACCCATCATACATAAAAGGTATTTATTCTAGGTACTGATGTCAGGATTGATGTCACGTGTTGCTTATTGAAATTAGACATGAACCTTCAATCTTCCTCATTCTAGAAACTTACTTTAGATGTACTTTATTCTTTTTCTCAAGTTCAACCCTACATCTTCTGTTTCCTGAGACCTTTTATTTTCTGTGTTATTTACCTGGTAGGTCAAAAGAGTTGGTACTTGTGGGCTCAGGCTGCTTGCTGGATATCAATTTTAACCTTATTTATAAAATTTATTTGTATTATGTTTCTGTTCTGTGTGACAGGGTGCCAAAGCATGTTTCCTCAGAGACATTCCCTTTTCTGCAATCTACTTTCCTGTTTATGCTCACAGTAAACTGATGCTTGCTGATGAAAATGGCCATGTGGGAGGACTTAATCTCCTTACAGCTGGAGCCATTGCAGGTAATTTTGCGAATGTTTTCCAGAAGTACTTTTTTTTTTCTTTTAGTGAGTAATGTTTAATATTCATTCAGTAGCCCCATATAAAGGAAGGGTACTGTACCATTGTATCTGATTTAATCTAAATTTGATCACTGTTATCCTTAGTGGGAGGCGATGTAATTTTGATGAGAGCTAATTACATTTGCATAATGTGGATAAACAGCGTAATGCAGCTCAGCAACTTGTAGTCAAATCTGATCTGTCTGTCTCAATAGGGTTTTACTTGTTACTGTGCTCTCAGAGTTGAAGGCTAATTTGAATCTTTGATGAACATAAAATGAGAGATCATAAGAGCTAGGAGGAAGATGACTTACCGAGTCTTGGGTTCCTGAATAACTGAGAAGAAACTTTGTTCAAATGTAATTGCTAAAAATTGGGCATTAGTTTGTCAAGAAGCTGAAGTTAAAGTATCATTATCTGAAATTTAAAATATTTTAAGGCTTCTTTTAAAAAGAGTTTAGTATAAAGAGAACAGGCAGCTGTGATAAAAAGGTGTTTTTACTAAATGGGAAGTGGTATAAAAATATTAGATGTAGGAACTGCAGTGGTGGATATTTAAAAACATGATATAGGTGGCTGGATTCTGCACTGCCAGGGATTAGATCACTAGGACAAAAACCAGGCATCTGCAGCCTTTCAGTCGCAAATGATTCAGTGTTGGAATCTGTGCAGTTTAGAAACATCACTGGGTTTAACAGACCTTCTGTTACTTGTTACAGTCATAAGGAATCACTATATATACATCAGTCATGAGCTGTCTGTGTGTAAAGAGCAGTTTCCCACACTGGACTTGATACAGAGCTTGGCTGCACCTGCTCTTTGATAGTTTGTATGTTCCTTGTGCCAGAGAGAAGGGAGCGACCAGCTAGGAAACTAGTCACAGATTTGTAGCCCTGCTTATTCTCAAGCAACTGTGAGCTGCCAGAAACATAAAATTATTCAGCTTACTGTACTCGTAGAAGGACATATAAATATTATTATTTAACTTCTATCTCATATAAATGTTTTTAATTTTAGATTGCAGACTTCACAGCTTCTCTTCGTTTGTTTCATTAGTGTTCCTGGGTCACACATACTAAGTGATGATCCCTATTAAAAATGTGTGGAAATCTCATAGGCCTAGTTTTATAGTGTACACAGGAACCTGCCTTTCTGAATTGCAAATTTCAAATTCCCAGTTGCTCCATCTATTCCTGTTATGCGTGCGCAGCAGGGAAGAATAGTCTGAACATACCTGCTGTAAAGGAAAATCATATATGGTTGCTATTAGTGTACGCTTGTAGGCTTAACAACATTGCTTCTGTTTTCCTTTAAAACCTCCTCAATTGGTCCATGACACTTCAGAGTTTATGATGACCTATGCAAATCAGTGACTTGTTAAATTTTTAGTTCAATATTAACCAATTGTAAAAGTTCATCAGAAGTCAAAATCAGTTTCAAAGTCAGAAGATGGCTCCTCTTTTTAAGAGAATTAAATTTGTACGGTACTCAGAAGTATTCAGAAATACCTCAAGTAACACAGTTACATACTGTGGAGTACACTTCTGAAAACTTTCTCCTTTCCTTTGACTAGAAAGCTGAGAGTGGTGCCTTGGAAGTGGAGATATGTTCTTCCATCACTGTTGGCTAATGTCACGCTGTTGGTACTAAGCAGGCTTGTAAAACACCTTCATTGTCCTCAGTCTTTTTATGGCTTGCCTTTTGAAGTAAGCAGCATCTATTCTCCTACAGAACAGTGCAAACAGCAGTACAGATGTATTTCTGCAGAATAGCTGTTTTAAGTAGTGTATTAACAGATGGGTGTGTGTAGTATTCAAGTTCCCAAATCAATCATCTATGTAATTTGCAAAACATGTTGTAGAGCACTGGGAAATGCAGTAAGGTTGCACGACTAATTTGTTACGGATATCTCTTATTACATGTATAGCATATGAGTGAACTTAAAAATGCCTCTCGTCTTTTCAAAACTACTGTTAATGACAGACCACTAGAAGGTGTTCAGAGAATTGCTGTGATAATTATTGTTTTCTTTACTATCCATTATAGCCTTTAAATGTAGAAGAAACTCAGAATGATTATATCAAGCACAACAGTTTATATTAGCATCAAGTGTAAGAACTTGCATTTTTAGTAAAGTCTAGTTTTTGGAGAGGAAAAAAATTAAAGTTTGTAGTTGCATTTTTCAGAAGTGTTTCCTCTCACAAGATTCTTTGTGCAAATTAAATGTGGTTTTCTTCTAAAAGGTGTGCCTGCTGCTTCTTTGGTAACCCCTGCTGATGTCATCAAGACAAGACTGCAAGTGGCAGCTCGCGCTGGTCAGACAACATACAGTGGAGTTATTGACTGCTTTCGAAAGATTCTAAGGGAAGAAGGCGCTTCAGCTTTTTGGAAGGGAGCTGGAGGTGAGAAACACACTCTGAATATTAAGGCTGACCCTGGATGTGCAAACTTGCGCTTGCTTTATTAAGGACTCGAATTAGAGCAGTATTTGCAAGGTCTGATTCTGAAAAACCTAACGCCTTGTTAGAAATGTTCGGCTTCTCCCGAGAAATTGTTTTGTTTGACACTGTGATTTGTAATATTTAACAGCTCGTGTGTTCAGATCTTCGCCCCAGTTTGGTGTTACTTTGGTCACTTACGAACTTCTGCAGAGATGGTTTTATGTCGATTTTGGAGGCCTGTAAGTCAGATATTTGCTTTTTTAGCTTGCACAACAAACCTGCCAAGTTAAAAAGTATCTTACTTTTTTCCCCGTGCATGGGACCACTTAAACTTGGTGCCTTTGAGCACCTGTACTTAAAATTGAAGTATGCAAAAAAATCCCCCCCCCTTATAAAATTGAGATACTTGCATGCTACTTCTAAACAGATGAGGAGATGAAGAGCTGTTTTGTATTATTTTAATACATTAATTTGTTTTTCCACTGTAGCGAGATAAATTGTCCATTTTCCCCATGTCAGTGAAAGTTAACAGAATTTAGCAAAGCTATTGGTAAAAATGTAACTTCAGTTTTGGCCTTGATTTCCCATGAAGCAGTGGCCTGAACTCAACTTTACCTGACAGAAAAGTGAATTAATTAAGGTCAGCTTTAACAGCCTTCCATACTCAAACAAAAACCTGAAGTATTTAGTCTAGATTTTGTACAGTTATTCAGGCTTAAGAAAATGCTTTAAATAAAAGAAAGGCTTTTTTTCTTTCTTCAAACAGCAAACCTTCTGGATCAGAACCCACCCCCAAATCTCGAATTTCAGATCTTCCTCCTGTTAACCCTGAGCACATAGGTGGATACAGACTTGCTACAGCTACATTTGCTGGAATAGAAAGCAAATTTGGGTTGTACCTTCCAAAGTTTCGATCTCCTGCCATCACCCCAGCTCAACCAAGTAGCAGCTGAGTCTTGGAACGATGTTTCAGCCTAACAAAGTGATGTGGTGGAAAAAATTCACCAGAGTAGGAGCTGTATTTTTTTCCAGTCAGCTGCATGTTGTTCTAGCTGAACTGAGCTTGCAAATCTAATTACTCCTTTCTGATATTGATCATACCTGCATTTATTTATTTGCACACAAGGAACTGATTGAAGCTGAGGTTCTATGCCTTAATTTAACCAGCGGCATGAATCTGTAGCCTAGACTTTGCCTTGCACAGCTTGCATTTAATGTTACTGTACATATTGTACATCTTTGTACAGAGACATCATGGCATCTGTATCGATACCCATTTATACAACGGGTATTGAGTTCAAAACGGTTTGAAATGTACAGAATGTTCTGAAGGCATTTTGTTAACAGTCGTGACAATAAACTATTTAAAACCACTTCAGTCAGTTCACTGCTTTGTGGTTACAGACAAATTGTCCAATTGCTTGGTTTTGGTTTTTTTTCCCTCCACAGATTATGGATCACAGATTAAAATGTAAGGATTAGATGCACCCATTTAATGAATGTACGGCGCAGGACGCAGCCTCTGAAGGAACACATTTCACTACTAATTACAGCAAAGGTATTAAAAGGCAACGTGCTGGCTTGTAAGTGCAAGAGAAGACAGTAGTTAGATGAGCACGTACAGTATTTTATTTTGCAGCACTGCTTTGTAACAAGGAATTCCCTCAAAATACAAGGTAATACTAGATGTGTAATAGATCTTACCCCTACGGTAGCATATTTAAAACAGTATTTGTGTTACTAGTGGCCTCAAAAACTTCTTTCAGGAGTTACTGAGTGATTTTTCCCAAATTAAAAACTTTTTTAATAAAAAGTTGAAGGCATTCTCTGTATTTCTAGATTGTTTTACCATTGAAAGATTAGGTTATTCTGGAAAACAGACAGACTTACTCTAATATTCTTCTAATATACAAAACTGATTGTTTATACTTCCAGTTGAGTGGAAAGGAGAGGAGAAAGAAAAAGCTTGAACTGTTTCTGGCCTAATGTCTGCCAAAAGTTTATATGGTGTGATTTTTAAATGCAAAGGTGTCAGAGGGAATCGGGAAGTCTAGATTTCTACAGCCACAGAGGAAAAGTAGTTATAGTACTCCTGCTGCCAGAGAAGAGAGGGGTGGGTTGCCAGCCTTGCTGACTGAAGTATGACAGCCTGCCATCTTTAGTTGTACAGGTTTCATTCAGGGTAAAACATCCCACAGTACAGGGTGTCCCAGCACTATGAACTGACTTGAGGTTGTTAGTTTCTTGCTGAGGTGACAGCAGGCCAACATGAGGAGCTTTAGGCAGCTTATGAAGAAATGGCTCCTTAAAAACTGAACACTGCAAGCACAGACAAGCCCTCCTTCAGTTCTAGCCTCTAATGATGCAGATTTGATGCTATTTAGTGAGCTAGACAATATGTTAAACTTGGGAGTTTGGTCACTATTCTGCATCATGCATATATATGTACAAATATGTGTGTGTATGTGTGTATAACCCCATTAGAAGGCTTCCTGTCCTTAGTTGGGGTTTTTTTTCCTGTTCAGGTTAAAGAATTGCCTGTTCTGTGTCATTTTCTACACAGAGACAGGCTTCCCTGGAACTCTCTCCTGTATCTATGTGTTTTGTATCTGTGCATTTCAGATACAAAAATGGTAGGTACCCACGGGTATTCACCTTAGTCACAGCTTGTTGACTGACTTGATCAAGGCCTCAGGAGACTTTGCAATGCAGGACAGCATTTGTATTTCTTATAGCTCCAAAACTGCATAGTGTGGCTCCCAGGATGATCACTTACAGTGTCTAGCACCACAGTTGGTCTCAGTGTTGTAGGTATGGGCTTTACAACATTTTTAACCTGTTCTCAACTATTGTGTGAGGGAGGAACACAAGCAGGAATG